TCTTTGAAAAATGATTTTCCTATTTACCTCAAACTAGTTTTACATTAATTTAAGTAAAAATAATTAAATATAAATGTACTTGTATCGTGTGTTATAAACGTATTTCAATGATATTCTATAAATAAAATACGAGTATAAAAATTGGGAATGTTTATTCAGTGCAAAACGTCTGAAACATTTTAGCAAAGAATCGGAACTGATGTTTTACATTCGAAGAAGCACAAATTTACATTTGACTGCGAGTACGCGCCGGAGTTTCTATGAAGTTTCTTTATAAACTATAAGTTTACGAGGGTGGCTCGTTTGCTACCCTACTATCATGTAAACTCTACCAAGATATTTTCATCATAAAGAGGAATCTGAATCTAAACTTTTTTATTTTGTAGAAATCTACCAAATAAGCCAGCATTTATAATTTAACAAATTGATAGCATGTCAAAGGATTGAATGCCGTATTTCGTATTCGGGTGTGCTCTCTTTTTCTTTTATTTTGGTACTGCCACATTTCTATCTCTATGGAGACACGATCAATTTTTCTAAAAAACTAACTGACCTTCGGAGTGGAGTTTTCTGGTCGCTGAACCTATGTGAGTGGGATAAGGTCAGGGAGATGATTATAATTTTATTTGCGAGAACATGACTTTAATAAAAATGAAATATAATCTATAAAGGGTAAACAGTGAACTACAAAATAAAAGAATCAAGAATAAACATACTTTCCAAAGATACAGTTGGGGGGATAGTTATAAAATATGTATATGTTAAAATCCGTGGGGTGGCATGTACTCGACCAGTAATACTCCGTACTGGCCACAACCCTGCAGCAACACTATCCTCTTATCTTTAAGCCAATTGGTAACAGCTCGCTACCGAATGCTCCAAATGCACATTTGAATCGTATAACTGCTTAAGTACCACTTGAAACTTTCAGTTCCAAAGTACCCTTGAAGTTTCGCAATAGGAAAAATTCACCTAACTATTCGAAATACAGAAAATGTTACAAAAACGTTATTCTGTAATGCACCTGAAATATCCGTAATAGATGAACATCGTTTAAACTTTAAATAACCATTTAAACAAGATCCATATTATTCATTATAACATTTATATGGGGTTAATACTAAAGATTATAAAATCCTATAGTGCATAAAAAGCGTGAAATTATATAGCAAGTGGGAACCTGTAAACAAACTGAACCGTGTCAATAAACCATCTTTAAAGATTATGTCTACGTTACAATTCTCAATATAGACTGCAAACTCAAGTCAAAATTAATCGACAAATATGTAATTCATGCTCCGTGGTAAGATAGAGCTACGTCTTGTAATCCGCTTTGAATTAGCTCGCTTACTACGAATAGTGTTAAATATCGATGCTAATCGGGTTGGCACCGACGCCGACGTAGTGGTGGTGTGGTGGCGGTGGTCGGTAGGTCAGGACGGCCAGGGGCGAGCGGCGACCACGTGAGCCTCGCGCCCGCCGCCGGGCCATTCATAGGGCGGGCGCGGGGACGGCGGCGCGGCGCCGGGGAACATGCGCGCGCAAAGATCGATACGAGGTGGCGCTAGTGGCATGGATAGTGGCCGGCCAGCCGCGCGCTAGTACGGACGCGTTGCGAGCCCATGCCAGCACTCCACAGATGACGGAGCCCGCCCGCGCTCGACCACGCCGCACCGACCCCGCCGCACCCAGCGCGCTCGAAGCCGTACAGACGCTCCCGTGCCGTGCGACAAGGTACGAAAATCAATACGCGGGCCGCAGTCTCCTCCGGCCGCGGCCGGGCGTCGACTTTACACAAATTAATTAAAGATGAGTTGCATTTTCTACAGTTCGGACGTGTGCGATTGCAGACGGTTTACTGACCCATACGTATGTTACATTAATACCTCAGTCCCAGTCTCCCCAATCTAGATTGAAACTAGAATATAAAGTTAAAAGAACTATAGTTAAAAGCATAGCTTCTTACTCGTAAAAATCGCAGTAATTAATGAAAAAATGTACACTACGTCAAAAAAATTGGCATCGGAGTGTGACTATTTCTGCAATGGCAAAGAATTGAGACGATAAGTGGAGGTTATAATAAAATAAAAACATCAGAGAGAATAAGCTGACTTGACCAAACTAGATATAGTATTTTTTTTAAATATGACCACTAAATCTAAAATTAGATTTTAATACAGAACATAAACCATATTTACTACGATAAATTGATCATAGAACTACTGAGTTCAATTTAAATACGAAAATCATTACCTAAAATCATAGCTATTCTAGACAAACTAAATATTTTTATGCGTGTCCTGCTTTGAATTGTAAAGATAAAACTCAGCACAGCTGCACTACCATTACTCGGCTTTACATCCTCGAAATCGTGGAAACCCGAAAAAAATTCACGTCTAAAAAGCCTAAGCTCCGTTGCATTAGTTTTACACAATATCCTTTGTGGAACCTACTTTTGTATAGACAACACTATTTTTACTCTATTCAGCAATCAACATCCTAGGCATCTCTATGAAATAATTCAGATAATCCCATACATTTACTATAGACTTCTTTTTTTATCTAAGTAAAAATTAAACGTATCACAAATATTTCGTTTTTATTCTGTACAGCCAGTTCTGCCATCATTCGTGAAATGTTTTATCATTTGTCATTCGAAACATAGAGTAATGGTTGCTTTTGATATTTTTCTAAAGCCATGTAACTAAAGGGACGTACTAAAAGGCTTCAGAATATACGACTCATACAACACAGTCAACTTTTGAATAACTTTCGTGTTAAATCTATATTTAAATTCTAAAATTTGTGTGAAATAGAACATAGAAATTTGTTTACAACATAGGTTCTAAACAAAATGTACTAATATCAAGGTAGTGTAATTTAAGAAATACAATGAGTCAAGATAAAAAGACTTGTGAGAATTTCTTTTATGGTTAAAACCTGCCAAACCAATAACCAAAACAGGGTAAAGTGATTATTATTCTATTTTCTTAAAGTAGGTGAATACTTAAAGAGAACAAATCTGGAATTACTTCGCCATAACTTTTGGGTTATAAATTTGAAACTAAAAAATTTAAACAAAAAAAGGCCATTCGATCCCGATATCTACATATCTGGGTTCGGAATATAACCAGATAGATGTTTTGAAGATTTTGGATTCAAGTATTTAGTAGTCATAATAATGTTAGTACACGAAAACTTGGTCAGGAACCAACCAGAAAAAAATTGTTTGAATTCCACAAATTGTGACTGTGATTTCCCCTAATAAAATATTTTTTATAATATTCTGTACGAAATATTTTATTATGTCATCTCAATATTTTAAAGAAAATGAAATAGATAACAGTCTGTAGGAACATTAATTAAATATATTATAATAGACGATATGTCCAAAACAACTGATGAAGAAAACATTTGAATATCACGCAATGAACTTCTAATAACACCGCACATAGATTGCTTCTTCGCGAGTTACTACAGGAAGTTAAAGTGCCTCTTGTCTCAGGTTTTCTCTTCCAAAAATATGATTTTTATTACTACAAATAATATTTTATTCTGTGTCGATAATTCTTTTACGTTGTTAGATTGAGTTTCTTATTTAAAAATGCCAGTATTTATGCCTACAAAGTTAGCTACGGGCTTTATCTGTGTTTATTTTATGTTGCTAAAAAAATATTTTTAAGTCCAAATATCGATTTACATTAACTATTACACTAAAAATAACTAATTAATACATGTATTTTTGGGTTCCTGAAAGTTAATAAACTACAATTACTTATTAAAGTTAATTATACTTTCAAAGTGACGTAAACATTAAATAAAGTTTTAATTTTGCCATAACGACTTTGGTGTGGCAACCCTATACGAAGGTATATACCGTGATGTCATGCAATTAAGGTCAGGCTTCTGAAATAGTCCAAGGGCGCATTGCCATTCCGAGCTATATGCACCTACAGTTGCTAATGGTAACGAAAATATAATCGATAAAAATAATTCTCATAAGACCTTAAAATTAGTAATCATAATTTTAAACTTCATACATCACTTCTAATATCTATGTGTTTTAGAAAGATCCTTCAAACAAGCTCAGAGATTGTCCTAAGCCCTTCAACTTTTACCCACTACTTTTGTATCTAGAGGTGCCGACAAAACAATTTTATTTTATTTAAAGAAATACTTGTCTTTAGATTATTCAGTTAAACAGGTCCCGTGTGATTGCTTCACGAAAAGACCCGGGGGACCAATACTATCCTCTGCAAACGACACAAACTCTTGTCTTGAATTTTCTTTCTGAGAATTAGCTAAATAAAAATGGCGCTTTTCTTCCGTTCTGTTTATCATGAGACAACGCTTTGCGCATCTCTGAAACTTATTCGTTATTTAAAGTAATCTCTATAGAATTTACAATTGAAATAAAAAAAAGCCTAATTACTTTTATAATAATTACAATTTTTGTTGGCGGAATGTTAAAGATAATTTTAATATATAAAATGTCATTAATACTTTTTGTATTTAAAAAAAATGTGGAAATGTATCATTGAAATAGTCCACAATAGCCCTTCCTGTCCTTCGCAGAAAGGCACCGTGTAGGAAACTGCCCTTGTCACAAAGGCACAATAAAAGCAAAATCGGTAAAGGTATCCGAAACATACAAAGTACAATGCTTCTATGCATTGTTGGAAAGACCTTGTGACATTACGTATGAAATGATTCATTCATCGATTCTTAAAAGTTAAAGGGTAAAAAAGCAAACGAAGGCATAAACGTACAGATACATTACATTGTTTGTGAATGTACAAACTTTCTAGAGGTTTTTTTACCCGACATATATTCAACACTCGTATTTATCGGGGAAGATATTTGATATTAATCGATGTACGTAGTAAGATTCCATCTCTACTCCTGCTTTATAATTTCCTACCTACGTTGTATTACAGCAGCCGCTACTGCCGTAGGTTCTCTAGTTTGATATACAACGGTGTTTTTGCTGTTTGTTATAGGTGATGCATCGAGGATGAGTCGCCGCGCGCGGCCGTGACATGGGAGCGCAGGCATGGGCTGGCGCGCCGAGCACCCGCCGCACCTCGCCGCCGGCCTGCTGCTCCTGCTGCTAGTCAACCTGCCGGGTAACACACCGACACCGACACACTACACAAGCACACCACCCCTTCACAAATTTTCTACTTATAGATTGTTTAGCTTCTTCATATGGATCCGATTGAGTGTAGATTGAGGAATGTCACCGAACGTTCAACCAGCCAATTGACACCGACACACCAAATCGATGCAGACACATCTCAATGATATGCCTCTTCACGCTCTTCCTATGTTAGTTATAAGGTTTGCCACACTCACTTTGCCGTCGTGCTGCAGCTAGTTCATCTACTGGGATGTGTCGACACTGATAACTACACATTACAGTGACAATGACATTCTACTCCGACTTGTTCCTATTTCACATACCTTCTATACCAGTAATAATATGAGAAATGCGTAGGCGCGCCGCGTACTTGCCGCACCCTGCGTATACAAAATGTTACTCGTATTATTATAATACAACATTTGTATTCTATCAAAAGTCTACAAAAAGTAACTTAACAAGTCAATATCGACCATCTTATTACAAAAGGATTACGTCAAATTATAATGAGAAAGAAAAGTTGCCAATAGGCGCATCTGTGTGTTTCTTTATAAAAACAAAGACTGTAGACGAGATTTGCTTTCCATCCGGATCTATTTAATCTCAAACGTGAAAAGATCGAAATATTCCCAGAAAAAAAAACAAGGAACCGTAAAACGTTAAAAAAACTTCAAATAAACTTAGATACATACGAAACCCTTGCCGTATATTTACTGCAAGTGATCGAATACTTGCTTACCGATCAATATTTGATAACAAATTCCGCGCTACCCTCAATTTCCGTTCTAACAACTTAAAATATCTCCTCCTCGCTTACATAAACTGGAAGCAGTTTCTCAAATATGTTGGATAGAAACATTTACGACATGTCCAGACTGCTGATAAATTTTGTTGACCATAAATCAGCCAAATATAACTACGTCGATATCATTTCCAGAGAAATATTGTACTGTATGTTTAGGTACAAAGTGATTCTGTGTGTTTAAGAATAAAAAAATAACATAAGTAACCTTACATTTCATATCTTCAATATAGATTTTCACGTGAAAACGACAATGACCATATCGACGAATATTTAATTTTATATGTCAAAAAATTTATTATTTAAATTAAAACTTTCAGTCAAAAAGGAAATCTTAACTAAATGCCCCAAAAATACAAACTGAATAAAATTTATATCACAATGTTTGGAAATTTAAAACCAATATTTGTAATTGGCTCAAAATCAAAAGTGCGAGCCTCTTTTTTATCATATAGACATTCGTTGTGCCAACATGTCGAACGTTTGCACAAAAAGCGCGTGATCTGGTTTGATTTATGTCATGCATTTTGATAAATGCGGATTACCCTTAATTCATTCACGCTAACGAATGGCGATCGGGTTCGAGCCACAGACAGATAACAAACAAAACATATATAAATTACTTTTATTCAAATGTCGCAAAACATTTTAATGGAAATCCGAATTAAACGCTAAATGACTTGTTACACCATTTGTGGTTATGTTTGTTGAAAACAACGTGGTTTAAAAAGTAATCGAATCATTTTGGTAGTTTATGATTAAGTTCGATTTAGTCCTTCAATAGCTAAAAATAGTCGGAAAATATTCAACTAAATATGTTGAAATGTGACCTAAAAGCTATAAACTCCATACCATGTCTGCCTACACTGGTTAGGTTAAGCGAAGAACACTTTATGTGTTCACTTGTACGTTTCTAAAACACTTTCATTGCAAATGTATTTAAAGATAAAAACACAATCAGCGCGAACAATTTTTCTCCTACTATATACTGAAAGAAAAATCACCGCGCAATTAAGGCATCGGTTTTCCTCGTACTGGTTTTATCTGGTTCAAATGGCCACAGAAATAGTCATTAATGCGAGCTTTCTATAGCGAAAAGAATAGATAACGAGCTAAATGAACGTTGTATTCATTTCAAAGTGCAGTTATAACAGCCTGTACCTTTATCTTTGGTGAAGATTTAGTCCTGCACATTGACACGAATTCGCAAGTGCGGAGCTGACCTATTTTTTAAAAAGATAAAATTAATAAAATGAGTCTCTTAAGCCATGAGTAAAAGACTGAAATAGTAGTATGATGACGATTACGAAACTTTTACAACAGCGCCAAATAGTTTTTTTAAGCAGGGTATTAAAGTGTAAACTTTAAAATGACACATTTACAGCATTAAAGGCCATTCACACGTTGTAAACTTGCTTCCAGTAGACTGAACGCGAGACGGTTCACACGGTGTCGTGTGACGCACTTCGTAGAATCGAAGTTGAGTCAGAAATACTAATAAAAGATGTTTTCAGTAACCTGTCACCAAGATCACCAAGATGCCGTGCACATCACGGCGATTCTTGGCGAGAGCGTCGTCTTCAACTGCCAGGTGGACTTCCCCGAGGACATCCCCGTGCCGTACGTGTTGCAGTGGGAGAAGAAGGTAGGCGAAACGGTACGATGGCCCACACTCCACTCTTACAATACAACGCTGCTCATCTACCGTGTGTGTGTTTCTGTTCAGTAGAGGACGGCTCGTCCCCGCGACGCGCAGCAGAATGTAAAGTATAACGTGCCGTGTCCGCGGCCACTTTGTCCGTGCCAGTGGTAAGGGCGCCGTGGGCCGGGGGCTAGCGTTCGCACAACCCTTGGCCCCCGCCCCGCGCGCGCCCCACGCACGCCTTTATGTACTTTCGCCTCTTCAGCATACCGCCTGTTGTACCTACCGCGACATACACCACAGTGACAAAGCCCTACGAAGCGTGTCTGAGAGAGCAGCAGACCCCCGTTAAACTAAACCGACACAATACACGACCACTTTACATATACGATAAGATAAATATTTCTTTTCGTTTTGCAAATAAAATATTTTCATTTTCGTTTATTTGGGTGCACAAGTTTATATCGGAGTTAGCACCGGGAGCACATAGCTTCAGGCTCACACGGGGCTCGCACTCCCTCGCGCACCGGCGGCGGTTCTGTCTGTTTCTCTCTTCTGTGGCTGTGGGTTCGCCCAAGCTCCTGCACTCCTAGCCTTACTACCTACCTCTTTGTTTTATTCTCATTCTGCATACCTATTGCATACTGCATGCTTCATGTCTTGTCACTCGTATCATGTCGTCTCGTCTCGTATCGTCGCGTAGATAGATCTGCACTACATCAGCTTCTTTTATATCTGGACTAATATTGAAGCTGATTGTTAGTTCGTATCAGATATCAGAAAGTTGTCGTATATTACTAAGTAATTGCTGTAATCAGTATATCTTTGTTATTTAGACAAAGTATCTCTAGTCATTTCCACATGCATGTTCTTGTAGCTAATCGTATTTAGTTCACAAAATATTGTTCTAAAATTAAAGTCTATTAAGAACTGATGAAACGTAATCTTCATGTAGATAACAAAATTTTGTGAAAGTATTCATTTTATGTTTTGTTTCATTACCTTCCATGAACCTTTCACGACAGGGAAATGGATAATTTCACGAGAACTATCAAACATTGTTGGATGTATGTATTTATGTATGACTGTACTGTGTAATGTAATTGTGTTGAAAACTGGAGATGCAGTGTGTACGCACCAGTTGAAGGTTGTGTGTTGACGCGTGTTTTGTATACAGGGGCAGGACATACCGATCTACATCTGGTACGAGAGCTATCCCACGCACAGCGGGGAAGGGTACGAGGGGCGCGTGGCCCGAGTCGCTCCGGACTCACCCTATGGCGCAGCAAGTCTCAACCTCACCAATATACGCGAAACTGACCAGGTAACCTACCTTACGTACACACTATTCAAGTATCCACGTATAATTAAGCAAACTTTATATTCAAGTATTTTGTCATCAAAGTCTATTTTAATGCTAAAGTATGTGACAAAACACGTAAAACCTCATGTATACCATACAAAGGTTTGTAAGTCTATTGTTTCTTTTGTTTCCTGAACGCATTTTCCCATGTCTGTGGGGCGTTCGCGTTTTAACTAACATTTTGTAACATATCTGCGTCGCTTCCGCGTCTTTGTGACTACAATGAAACTCAAACTTGCATACGAACTGCATTTATTAGAATGTCTGCATTCTTAAATGAGAAAAGTTACACTCGTTTTATGAATAAAGTCGATACTTACTTTTATAAGGAAATGCAGTATTTGTCTTTTACGTTTTTTACGATCAGTCAAGCGAAGTGCTTTCCGTTCCATAATTCCTTATGTGTAACAAAAAGATTGAAAATGTGCAACTCATTAGAATCTTACGGATGTGCAAATCCGTGATTAAGGTCCACTGATCTTATGAGTGTTCTACTTACTATCCTAAACTACCTAACCCTAGAAATTTGTCAATAGAATAAAATGTCTTCATGAATATTGAATATAGTATTTATAAATTGTTTGTGATATGTCAGGGTTGGTACGAGTGCAAGGTGGTGTTCCTCAACCGGTCGCCCAACCAGCACAAGAACGGCACCTGGTTCCACCTCGACGTGCACGCACCGCCGCGCTTCTCCATCACACCGGAAGACATTATATACGTTAACTTAGGTATATACAATACTACGACTAACTGGCGCACTTAAGCTCTTAAACGGTCATGGGAAGGGGTCCCTTAGGGTAAGGGAATCATTAAGCGGTAACTTAATGAATTTGAGCGTGTCAGAACAGAAAAGTTGGCTCTAGACTGAAGAAAGGCTACGTCTAGCAGTGGACCACAGACTGAAATGGTAATCTTGAATAATGCATATTTGCAGGGGACGCGATCATATTGAACTGCCAGGCGGAGGGCACACCGACGCCGGAGATCCTATGGTACAAGGACGCGAACCCCGTAGAGCCGTCTGGTACGGTGGGAATCTTCAACGACGGCACAGAGTTGCGCATCAGCAACATCCGGCACGAGGACATCGGTGACTACACGTGCATCGCGCGCAACGGTGAAGGCCAGGTGTCGCACACCGCACGCGTTATCATCGCAGGCGGCGCCGTCATCACGGTCAGTACTCCTCACGTAAAGTGTGACTAACTTGTCTGGTCCGGTAGGAGAGGCGCTGTTATCGCTTCACTTCTGACAGAAAATTTATTAGCAGTAGAAGTCATTTATGTGAAGGCACCGTTTCTTAAGTGAGCAACAAAGCTATAGTAAGCTATAGTTCACAGTTGTATAAAAATATCCAGTGTAAAGATGCATTCTTGACTTTATTATGCTCGGATCTGATGTTGTTTATAAAATTACTATTTTATTTTTAATGTTAAAGGATACGAAAATATAAGGAAGTAACAAAACAGTAACGATATACTATTGCACTAATTAATTTGAGCTAAACTCATTTCTTTTCCCCTAATAAAGGTACAAACAGCCTTGATAAAATTAATAGCGAGTCGCCCCCGGGCGTCGTTAGGCGCATTGGAGTATCGCAATTGGAGCGATTATAATTAGGAGAAAGTGCCATTTATCTGTTACCGTTAAACGAGCAAATTTCATTTAATATTTGTATAGCGTATTGCCCTCCTCGTAATATGAATGTATGATGAAATGTAAACACGCTTACATTGTTTGAACGCTTAAATACAATTGTATTACGTCTGCCATGTTAAACGGCTTTGCCGTATTTGTACTCTATTAAATAATTATAATATTTGCACAATATAATAACATATATACTTCTTGGTTATACTATGTATAAATTTTATTTAAATAGTTTTATATAGCTTTTAAAAGCTATGTCAAGTTGGCTTAATTTTAAATTTTAGATAATGAAATAATTCTTCAAAAAAAAAGGGATATGCAAAGAATTCTGGCGAAGTGCCGTAAGTTAGCGTGTGCAAGGCGATGATTAAAATTGTTGAGAGAAATTAAATATATATATTTAATATCCAGATGCCACCAACGAACCAAACGAAGTTAGAGGGCGAGAAGGTGCAGTTCTCGTGCGAGGCGAAGGCGCTGCCGGGCAACGTGACGGTGAAGTGGTTCCGCGAGGGGGCGCCGGTGGCGGAGGTGGCCGCGCTGGAGACGCGCGTCACCATCCGCCGCGACGGCGCCCTGCTCATCAACCCCGTGGCCGCGGATGACTCCGGACAGTACCTCTGCGAGGTCTCCAACGGCATCGGCGACCCTCAGAGCGCCTCCGCTTATCTTAATGTTGAATGTAATGTCTTTTGTTTTTACTATTTTAATTGTTAGATGGCGTTTATTAGATGTTTTTGGCACATTTTTTTTAAATCTTTTAACTAGATGTTAACCACTCAAGTAATATTGTTTTTAATATGAAACAAATGTCTCCATTGTATGAAAACATAGCTAAGTTACTGCAGATTTGTTCGAGTAAAAAAATACGTGTACTAACTTTTGTTCCATTGATTTTCAGACCCAGCGAAAGTGACGTTCACACCAACAGTGCAGTACCTCCCTTTCCGACTGGCGGGCGTGGTGCAGTGCTACATCAAGGCCAACCCG